GCCCTTCTTAAGCATCGTTTTATAGCTACGCTTACTTCATCGCTTATAAAAGGCAACATGAACGGGACTTTCTTTTGGCCAAGTGTTTCGCGTGGGCGCGTCGTTCTCCTTGTAAACTTATCTCGTGGGGTTACTATTTCGTAGCCATTGGAGATGGCTATTTGCCGGGCCAAGTCGCGCGATTCTTCCTTTAGTTCCCTAGTAGTGCACACAGAGGTGGCTGTTCGAAACATGTTTCTCACAATCGCCCTCTTTGTGTGTGAAGGGTGGGAAGAAAGGAAATGGACAAGGATGTTCTTGTTACTTGGCTTTCGATACCACTTTGTCAGGTAACCGCTACTTGATAGGTTTATTTGGACGTCCAAAAACGGAAGCCAGTTTTCTCTCGGTTTCTCCCGGGTGAACTTTATGCACTCGGACTGCTCGTTCAATAATTCAAAGTATTTGTCCATCTCCTGCGTAGAGAAGGCGACAAAACAATCATCTACATATCTGCAGTAGAGTAGTGGCCGGATATCGAGAACAGGGGCTTCTATCTTGGACATAAACACAATGGCAAGGCTTGGTGCCAATCGCTGTCCCATTGCCAACCCCCTTATTTGCGCGAAATATTTCCCAGACTATCTGAAGATCGAGCAGTTTAGGCACTCCTTTAAGAGAGCCATTAGCTGCTGGATGGATAAGCCATGCATATTTATTCTTCCTTCATGTTCAACAAGAAGTTCGAAGATGGCTTGCATTGCGGACTCATTCGAATGCGTTGGTGTACAGTGCGGTAACGTCGAAAGACTCCATCACGTACGCGTTATTAGGAGACGCGTTACGTAGGCGTTCTAGGAACATTTGGGTGTTTGTGAGGTGAGCTGGAATGTGGTTAAGCAACTGGGTAGGTATTAGGCTTAAAAACCAGGTTATTCTATCCGTTGGCCCGTCTACACAGCTGATGATCGGTCTTACCTTAAATGATGACGGATTGGTTGACGCATGATCATCAGGTGATACCAACTTAAATGTATGCTGTTTAAAAACCTCGCGATTGCTGAACAAGAAAACGACACATTCACTTTTTAAATTGAGTTTCTTCTACTAATTGTTGTTAACATTTACTAAACTTCTCGTAGGCCATCTGAGAATTCCATTTGCAATGATGTACGTTATGCCTCCATGTCATTCTTCCTAAGTATTCCAGATCATGGTGTTTTAATTGCATCACCGTCTAATTCACTCCACTGGATACCCAAGTTGACCGAGCTTTTATCCACCGCATCGGCTTCATTCAAAAAGGTGACCACGTTGTCGGCATAGGCATGATCGATTGAGATCGTTCGCTCATTGTCGGCTTAACTCCATCAGACTCTTTGAGGTACTCATTTCGGCAAACGCTCTTCAGAGATGTATTTCTGCTACACATTGTGCGGTTGTAGCCGGCAGTGCAATTGGCTAAATTTGTGCACACTTTTTCTAGAATTCCTGATGGTAACTTCTCAGCGAGCATTTCACATTTACACACAGCACCATTTGGGCAGTTGCACCCGTACTGGATTCTGTAGATCGAAATGGTGATGATGAAATATAACCCTTCTCGAAATCTCTTCCAACTTTTATTCCGTTTTCTTCCGCTCTATTCACCGTCGAGGCATCTACGACAGCATTACCTGCGTTGGTACTGGATGTTAATCAGTGCTAACTACATACACGTGGAGTTCTAGTTCTCTTTCCTGTCCGCTTCATTGAAGGCATCTACTCTATGATGGGTGAAATTATACAAAATCGATCATAATTGTGGGAAGGATTGAAAGGAATTATGTTAAAGTACGGAAGATTTTTGGAAATGTTGTTACCGATTTGGCAACAAATTAGCTGTCAACATTCGACTATTGCGACATTTCTGAGTAGAAAGCACCTATCAGTTTCTTATAGGTTGATTTTTCTTCAGAAAGGCACTTATTCCCAGCGATAGTGAGGACTAGTTTTCTTCCTTGCGAGCAAGACATACGAGCTTTAGGAAGGAGTAGTTTACATCGATTTCACTTTATTAGACAGAGCAATCACTTTTGAGAAGCCCTGAAGAACGAGAAAGTAAATGGAAGACAGTCAAGCGGAAAACTCGTCCGTCATCACATACTGACAATGCTGCATTCCTCTCGGACCTGTGCGGCGTCTTTCTCCATTGCTTGCAGAATTAAAGAATACGACTGAACCTTGTCTTGGAAAAACTTGTGGCAAATTCGCCTCAAACACACAGAATGGCTTATGTATATTTGAAAGCGACAGCAGTTTTGTCACTGCTTTACAGATTTTCAAAGGATCTATGACGATTAGCTTGTTTCCATGAGCAACTGAGCACTTGCAGGCCGAACTTGAGCGGTACAAGCGAGTGAACGCGGCGAAGAAAGTGACGGGCTGCGCGACGGCGATGACCACCTGCGGCGACAGCTCGCTGCTCGGCCTCGGCCTTGGGGCCGCCACCTCCGGTTAGTTCGGAATTTTACTCAACCGAAGCCTCATCACAGCCGAAGTGCATGCAAGACAATGAGATCTAAAAGACTAGTGGAGGATTGAAAATGCGTGTGCACTCTCCACTGCACATTTTTTCATCATCCTGTCCACTCTTAGAAATTCATGTGCTAAAAAGGCGGATTACAGCTCTAGCAAAACGTATAGGATTCTATAAGAAAAAATGTAGCAATTAATTTTATTTTAATCCGCTGAACATCGGCTGTCGTACAACATTTGATGTCAGAGATGTCGTCGAAATAAGTATACAAATGCTGTACAAAGAAGAAAGACCAATTTGGACGACTTCCTCTTCTTTTCTTAACACACAAATAACCAAACACGGTCCTTGGCTTACTCCTTCATAAATACGTCATTTTTTAAAGATGGAGCACGTTTAGAAGAGCGCTCAAATTTTAAATTTTCAATGTAAATTCTGTATTACGAACATGCTCCTCAACTCAGAAGATTCAGTAGGCTTCGTTTTTCCCTCTATTAAAAGTCTTCTATTGTTCTACCAACATCAACTAATATCGAAAATACTACGTGCTTAAATAATAATATGTATATGTATGTATATATCCCCTCAACGGTTTACCGCCTCATTGTGGCTGGAAGATGTTTCTGGGTATCGGACTGCGATGTACAGCGGCAGGATTCGTTCCTCCGGCAGGGTCCTCTAAGCTAAGAAGGAGTCCAGCGTTTCCATCAGGAAGCCTAGCTAAGAGTAAACCATCACCAGGGCCCACCACCGTTCTGGAGTCGAACTAGTTGCATGGTGGCAAACCTACCTCTGGGTGGTGACGACTTGGGGCAGACTTTCGCCAGGCTCGCCACAGGACTGCAGCAAAACTAACCAGTTAGGATGGATCGTCCAAATACCAAGTAATATATGTATTAATTAATAAATAAATGGTGAGACATAATATAGTAAAAACGATAAATGTCATAGTAGCATTGAAAAATATTCAACTAGAGGTTTGAAATTTCTTGCACTGACACCAACCAGCGTTGGTATTAAGTGAAAGGAGAAGGAAAGTAAAGTTTAAAGAAGAAGAGAACTAAGACTAGGTGAAATTCCCGTTTCTAATGAGTGGTTTGTTATATCATTCATTAAAACAGAAAAGAATAGAAACTTATGGATGTGGACAACTGTTCTGAATGGGGCGGTGCGAAATGCCTAGTCAAGAAGTAAATGCATTGCAAGTACTTTGTTGTTTCAGGTTCCGTCGCAGTAGCGATCTTGACCCTCCAGACAGGACTCGTAAGCGCAGGTTCTTCCCCTATTCAGTAGTTTCGTTGCAAAATTACTTTGGCATTTCGTGTCGTAATTTTGACAGTTACGTGAAATTACTCAAATATTTCTTCCCTGATAACGTTGAATTCAATGTTAGAACTGCATTGCCTGGTTGAAATGTAAAAAAAATTCAACAGGATTGGTGCAACAAAATTCATTAGCAACAATATGACTCAGTCAAAATACTTACTTGGTTACTTGGATACTTGGACGGTCCGTCTTCACGAGCTGAGCGGACCCCAGCACACATGCCATTCGTTCCTTTCTCTCTCAATCGTAGTCCATGTTGGTGGTCTTATTCGAGCATGGTAGCGCTTGCCAGTCTCATACCGTGATCTGTAAAACAACTGCAGCTGCGAGTACAGCTGATTAACTTTGTTTACGAACACGTCCGCCCAACGTGTAGGTGGTCGTCCTAGGAGACGTTTGCATTCTCTTGAGGTTCCCTCTACTGTCCTTTTCGTCCATCTGTCGCTTGTTCCTCTCATTAAGTGACCGGCCGATCTATGTTTCGCGATCGATGTATATTCTCCTAGATCTCGAAGATGTGACAGATTTCGAAGGTCAGAGCTTCGCATTTCGGCTAGAAATTGAGAGTGCTGGTTATATTTCAGAAGACATCGCTCAAGCGCTCTGCGAGTAGTGCAAAGCATTCTTGACGTGGTTAAAATATAAATCCACGTCTCTGCTGCATAACAGAGCGCTGGGAGGACCGTCGAATCAAAGAGATGAGCGCGGATTTTCGGGTCCTTCAATTGGTCGGTGGCTTCTTTGAGAAGCACGAATGCGGCCCAAGCTACCCTCCTTCTATCTAGTTCTTCC